TCGGAAAAAAAAATTATTTACAGCCAGTGTAGGAAGTGAAGTCCAAAGCGTACTCCCTGGCCTGATTGTATAGCTGCTTTGAGCCCATATCCAGAACGTGGGGTGCAGTGGGGGGTGTAGTGGGGTGGCAGTGCGAGTCATCTTCACTCAGCCATCCGACAACTCAGCATCTTGTGTTCATCCCAAACCCCTCCACAAGGGTCCCTGTCCTCTCTCTCTCTCTCTCTTTCTTTCTCTCTCTCTCTCTCTCTCTCTCTCTCTCTCTCTCTCTCTCTCTCTCTCTCTCTCTCTCTCCCTCCCAGCACCCTCCGGGTGACCTGTTGCTACACTCTTTGCCTCTTTGCCACTTGTTACCCTCACAGTCCTTTTTATTCTTTCTTCCTTTCACACTTCACACCCCCCTCCATCCCAGCCCTTCTAGAAAAGCCCAGAAATAGAGAGATGCCATCCCAACCCCTGCATCAAAATCCTCAGTGAGCCTAATCACCAGTATTGACCATGGTTAAGACCGGATGTTGAGAGCTCGGGAGTAGGTTTATGACGCTCATCCCTTCCGCGTTTGTTTGAAAAAGATTCATAAGGGGGGGAAAAAGCCTCAGTGGTCCTGCAGGGGGCTCAGGCTCGAGCCCAAAGTCCCCAGCTGGCACTCATGGCCCATCAGGATCTGCTCCTACCCCATATCCCCTCAGCTCATCTCCTGGCACTCACCCTGCGGCAGTCCCCCTCGGCCCCGGCTCCCTCCTGCAGCGCTATCTTCCTATCTCGGTCCTCTGCATCTGCCACAGCGGGCTTCCCCACAGCTCCTGCCTAGAAAACGTTTCCTCATTCCCTGGAAACCCGGTAGAAATAACTCCTGGTCTTAATTCCGCTTTCTCCCACCTCAGCCCCCCCCCTTTATGGAAGGGTGGGTCAGAAGGGGGCCTCTATCCAGGTGTCTATCCAGGCATGAAAGAGAGCAAACAGAGTATGTTGCGGAGACAGAAGCATCATCTGGGTTAATAAATCAGGTGCAACGTTAACTTGAGCAAGGAGAGTAGCCTCCTCTTTCTACTTCTTTCTCTATAAAAATGAAGATAAGAGTCCCAGGGCTGGGGTCACGATCTGGTGTTCTACTCTGTGTCAGTAGCTCTTAGAGAGACGCAAAAATCAAGACACTGATCGACAGACAGCCTTCAATCAAACAATACAATCTCAGCTGAAATGTCCCTCAAAGCCGCTGGCAAAGAACTGCCGCGGGTTAACTCTGAAACGTCTCCCCCAGCCCCGCCGGAAAGGCACAGCTGCCGGTTAACTCTTGCTAGGAGCAACAGAAAATTCGAGAAAACCCCGTGACGTGAAAGACAGGATTCCGCTCCCGAACTGGGGGTGGGCGGGGGTGGGGTGGGGTGGGGTGTGGGGGGATGCTGATGCTCTTCACTTTATACGTGATTTTCGCTCTCGACCTGGGTGAGAGAGTGGGCTGGGGTGGTGGTCCAAAGGTTAAGTCCGAGACACCCCCATCCGGGTTACATAGGTAGGACCCTGCAGATCCAGGGGGTGGGGGCTACCAGCTGTCCCCCTCCCCGAATCTGCCGCGAGCGGGAGGCTGCCCGGAAATTCGGTGGCGGTAATTATCTGCCAGTCTGTGAGGTCTCGGTGATCTCGTACCTCCGGGCTGGGGCCGAGGAATGAGAACATCTGAGCGGGGTGGGCTGCCCGCTCTTTCCCGCTCCTCCAAGCCGCCCGCCGCCTCGTGCGTCACCTGCGCGGGCGGGGGCCGCGGGGCGGGGGCGTCAGCAGGGAGGGGGCGCCCCAAGGTGAGGGCACAGCGAGGCTTTAAAAGGCCCAGCGCCCCCCACCGCCGCTCAGAGCTGTGCCGCGCCGCGCGCCGGCTGGACGTGCTGGCGTAGGCGCAGCGCCTGGCTCCAGCCGCGGCCGCTCCCACCGCCCGGCGCGCGCTCAGCCGCCGCGGCCGTCCGGAGCCGCGGCCGTCCGGAGCTATCGGCCCGCGGCCGCCTCGGCACGAACCCCGCAGCTGCAACAGGTAAGCGGCCCCGCCGGCTTCCCGGTGGCGCGGCCGTCCCCCGTGTTCTCCGCGCGCGGCCGCCCGACGGCCGCTGCGCTCGCCCGCGCCCAGACAAGCGGGACCGTCCCGTGGTCCCTAGCCCCCGTCCCGGGACCGTTCCTCGGACCGCTCCAGTTTCCTCGGCCCCCCTCTTGTTCTCTCGGAAGCGTTTTTTCCCCAGTTTTCTTTTCCCTCCATCACGCCCCAGCGCGCCCGCTCCTCTTTTCTCTCCCCACGGCCCCCCCCCCCCTTCGCCCGGGCCCTTGGATGGGCGCGTTGGCTCTCTCTAGAGCGCGTCCCCCACCATCGGTTCTCGGTCCCGCATCCTCTTTCTGGTTAGCCTCTCTGGAGCTCGCTCAGTCTCTCGGACCCTCCCGACCACCCCGGTTCCCTCGCGCGTCCCCTCGGGTGCGCTCCCTGCGCTCGCTCATTCCTACGCCGATGTCGCCGATGTTGCGGTGGGCTGGAGAAAGCAGAGAGGATGCCAGATAGGCGGGGTGGTCCGGGGCAGAGAAAACGGGGTCCCAGTAGGCATCCTCCCTGTTTTTTCTAGCGCTGTCTGTGCTGTTGAGAAACTTGGAGATTTATCTGCCAGAGCCCGCCGCGGCCAAGGACGCACCTGATACCCGTGAGAAAATTTTAAATCGACAGAGATCCAGCCTGAAAAAAAACCAGAGGTGAGGGGTGGTCAGAGAAAGATAAAAGGTGATGCGCACACACTCCAGCAGATGGGAAAAGTGCCTCGCGCCGCTCCCCTGGGTGAGGGAGAGACAGACTTAACTCTCCAAGCGCTAGCACTGCAGAGATAGCCTGGGGAAATGAGAGACAATAGAGATATTCCGCGGGTGTTGCAGACCTAGACAGAGAGAGAGACACGGGGCAGTGTGTGTGTGGTGTGGGGGGGTGTGGGGTGACAGAAAAAGACTGGGCTGAGAGGGTCCCAGGGGAAAAAAATCTGCGCAACGAAAGGAAGGTGCGTAAAGAAAACCCGGGCAAATTAGAGTCAGGGAGCGACACGGAGTGTAGTCAAGACGCAGAAATAGCGACTGATTCGAAACAGGTGCGCTGGAACCCACTAAGAGGGCTGGGGAGATAGAATGGGAGAAAACTGGAGACATGAGAGAGTCCCAAGAAAGAGGAAGAGGAGAAGCGCGCGTGGATAGAGGCAGATGCGCGCACAGAAACTGCGTGACAAAAGCGCACCAGCCAAAGACGGGGGGGGGGGGGCGAGAAACGCATATACAGCTACAGAAAAAATAAAAGTGCTCAGGCCGCAACACGGAAGGAACCCCTGGCGAGGGGGAGACCCAAAGTGGGAGGGAGAAGAGTACTGGAGAGAGATTGACACGCGGCGGGCGCGCGCGCGCGCGCTTTAGCGAAAGCTTGGGAAATCGAGGCAGCCCATGGCGTGAGGACGGAGAGGTCAGAGATGACGGTGACGCACACACATATTGGACAGGTACAGAAAATGTGCCCTCGGGAGCGCCACTGGAGAGAGGGAAACCGACGGGCGGGGGGAGCGAGAACCGCCACCCGCCGGGTGAGACACTTTGAGAAACTGCTGGAGAGACTCGAACTGGGAGCTCGGGAGCTGTGGGAGGCCCGCAGAGAACGCATGCACACGCGCGGGCTGGGAGACATCCAACCTGGAGGACCTAGCGATAGTTTTCAAGAGGCGCGGGACGCGCGCGCGACAGCGGGCAGGTAGCAAAAGTTAAGAGACCCAGAGATATTGTGGGAGATGCGCAGAGAGCCCTCGCGCGCAGCAGCTGGAGAAATGCAAACTGCGTCACCAGAGTTTTTGGGAATCGCGCAAAGTGATGGACAGATAAACCAGGAGGCCCAGAGACAGTGTATGGGGATGGGGGGGGGGGGGTGGAGAGGAGGCCGAGGGCGGGGGGGGTGGAGGAGGGAGGAGTGCGCAGAGTTCCGTTAGCGTCAGCGGGAGAGATCCTAACTTGAGGATCCAGAGAGTGTGGGGGGGATATAGGGGGGAGGAGGAAGGGGGAGGTTGAGGGTTGGGTGGGGGGACACTGGTGGGGGTGTGGTGTTGAAATTCCATCATTAACGGTATTGTAAAACATGGTGCGTAAAAGAATAGCGTGAAAGCAAGACGCATAGCCCGCGGGAGAGATGCAAACCTGCAAACGGCGAGAGTGTGTGGGATGTGGAGAGAGAGCGCTTGCGGGAGAGCTCCCAAACCGGTTAAAGCAGTCCGAGAATTAAGTTTCCAGAACTGAGTTTGCCACGGTTGAGGATCGGAGGGGGGGGGACATCTGGTGGGGAACCACGCGTGGGGGGTGTGGCATTTAACAGCGTTGTAAATCCTGATGCGGAAGAGAGATGCGCAGAGCGCGAGCGCAAGCGCACGCGCCCACGGCATCCATCCAAACGTTAGACTCCCGAGACGGGGAGGGGGGCGCGCAGAGACTGCACACGCACTCGCGGGACAGGTCGTAACTTGAAAGATCGGAGTGTGTGTGTGTGTGTGTGTGTGTGTGTGTGTGTGTGTGTGTGTGTGAGCGCGCGCGCGCGCCAGGTTGAGAGATCCAGACTGGGTGAACCCGAGTTAGCCTGGCAGACGCGCAGGGAGTGAGCCTAGCGCGCACGTGACTGCAGGAGAGGAGGGAGGGGCTTTGAGACCGGGAGGATTCGAGAAACTAGCAGAATGCAGACCGAAGCAAGCGAGAGGGGGGCGGGGAGGCGGGGCAGAGGGAGAAGGAGGGTCTGCAGCGCTGCTGTGAGGCTTGGAAGCTAGGGATCCCTTGCAAAGCGACTAACCCTGTGTGCCTTTCTTTTGTCCCCAGCTTCAGCTGTGAGTGAGGGCTAGTCCCGGCACCCCTTCACTGCCGTCTCCCACCTGCTGGGTCAGCCACAAGCCACCATGGACGCCGCACTCAATTACACCGCCAACATAACTGAAACGCTTGCAAACATCACCAACACCGTGTGTATGCCCCTCACTAAAATGCCAATCACACTGGCTCACGGCATCATTCGCTCGGTCGTGCTGCTCATCTTTATGATCGTCTCACTTGTAGGCAACCTAGTGCTGGTCGTTGTGCTGCAGCGCAAGCCACAGATTTCTCAAACCACCAACCAGTTCATCTTTAACCTGCTGGTCACTGACCTGCTCCAGAGCGCTCTGGTGGGCCCCTGGGTGATAGCCACCTCCCTGCCCTACTTCTGGCCAATCAATACCCACTTCTGCACCGCCCTGGTTAGCCTCGCCCACCTGTTTGCCTTTGCCAGTGTCAACAGCATCATTGTGGTGTCAATTGATCGTTACATGTCCATTATGTATCCTCTGTCCTACCCCAACAAGCTGACCAATCGCCAGGGACAGAAGCTACTCTACGGCACCTGGATCGTGGGCGTCATCCAGAGCTCACCTCCACTCTGCGGCTGGGGGCACGCTGCCTTTGATGATCGCAATGCTGTCTGTTTCATGTTCTGGGAGGCAAGTCCGAGCTACACCTTTGTTAGTGTCATGTTCTTCCTTGTCATCCCCCTGGCCGTTATGATTTTCTGCTACACCGGGGTGTACGGCGCCGCCCGCCGCCAGCACGCTCTGATGCATGTCAAAGTTCGACGTCTGGATGTGGGAAGCAGGGTAGAGGAGGAGGAAAAGGAAGAAGTGGAGGAGAACGAGGTCGAGCCGCACCAGGATGCAGGTGAGGTCGAGGCCGATGAGATCAGTGAAGCAGCCGGGGATGCCAGCCCGGAGGAAAAGAACGAGACTGTTGTCGTCGTGGAAACCCATGGGGACGATGTGAAGGAGGAGAGCGAGGGGGAGGTGGCGAAGGAGGTGGTGGAGGAGGTCAAGGAAGAAGTCAAGGAAGAGGAGAAGATGGAAGTGGAGGAGGGGGAGGAGGCAGAAGACAGCAATGCTAACATGGAGGGTGCAGAAGATGGCGTGGAGAGCGAGAGCTTCTCCACAACAGCCCACAAAGGCAGCAGCGAAGAGGACCACTGCAACATCTACTTGGGTGAAGATGATACAGAGTGTGGTGATGACGAAGTGATCTCAATTGAGGCAGTGAAGACCCCGGAGAATATCCAGTGCGTCCAAGATAGCAACGAGCCTCCTGTTCCCAGCTCCTGCCACTGCAAAGCTCTGAAAGTCATCTTCGTGATCATTTTCTCCTACGTGCTGTGCGTGGGGCCCTACTGCTTTCTAGCGGTCCTGGCTTTGTGGGTGGATGTCCAAACCAAGGTTCCTCAGTGGGTGATCACCATAATAATCTGGCTTTTCTTCCTCCAGTGCTGCATCCATCCCTACATCTATGGCTACATGCACAAGTCCATCCGGAAGGAGATCCACATTTTGCTGAGGGAGTACTTCCCCAAGAAAAGTCACACCTTCCAAGGTAACCACCCAAGTCTGGCTGCCACACGGGGTAGAACCACCGCCACAGGAGTTAGAACCACCGGCAAGCTGGCCCCTTCTCAAGAGCACACCACTGCTATTTAAAGCGATTTCTGAGGCAAGCTCTGAGTTGTCCACAATTCTAAAAGAAAGAGCAGCTTTCTTTTAAGTGGATCACCCACAATTCTATTGATGCAGCACATCCTTCTCAGCACACTGTGTAGATAATTGCATGAAGAGGTAGGAACTCAGACCTTAAAACTGTCCTTGAAGAGTGAACTTGAGGATTCAGACTGAAACTGCATGCCCCCACCTCCCACCAAAGTTACTTGGCTCTGTATTTCTTAGAGGTACCTGTCTCTCTCCCCAAGAGATACACTGACTCTGAAGGAAAAGGAACAGTAATAATGGCCAGTAGGTCAGGAACTTCTGGACAAAGGCCATACCCTATGTTCAACTGAAAGAAGAGAATGAATCAAATTATTCACTGAGCCCAAGAGGCAGGACTTGACTGATCAGTGAAAGACACTCATAAGCTGGTATAAAGACTGATGTATAGATTTACACAAAGGACACTGCAGCTAGAAGTTTCTGCATACTCCAAAGAGATTCAGAAAAGTGTAAGAGGATGTCAGGGGATGTTTGACATAGGAAATTAGTGCAAAGGAAAGGACAAAAGAGAAATAACACATATCCATGGGATGATATATTTCTCGATATAATCCGTTGACACTAAACTTTTTCCTCTCCTGTTTGAATAATAATGACCCAGAAGTATCATCTTACAATTCTCCCTTTGTGTTTGAGCTGGAATGCTCGTAATCACCAAATATCTTCTGCAAGTCTTGTGTGTGTGTGTGTGTTTCTGTTTTAATATGCCTTTTTGACAAAACATCATTTCCAGGAAACAATTTCTAGAAGATATTCAACTAGGAGTCGACTGAACTCCACAAAAATCACAGTGCAGATCAAGACTGTCCATCAGAAACCTGTCATGTTCCTGAGAGCATCCTGAGGACTGGGGGAAAGCAAATCTATAGTAACTAACTGCTCATGCAGAAATCTAATGTTAATTTACTGTTAATACTGGTAGGATTAAAGGATTACAATATATAGTAAAAATTGTTTAGTATGTCCACAAAAATCTAATTACCTCCAACCCCATTAATTGGAACACATTAATTCAGACAAGACACGCAATCTAAAGTTTATTGTTTTTGTCTACCAAACTGTATAAACTTATTATTTTTCTTTGTTGCTGAAGTTGTCTATTAACCTGTCCTTATAGGATATTTGGGAGCAGAAATGTCCTATGTAACCAATTTTTTGATGCAGGGAAAGGCATTACCTTGAAGATGTGTCCTGGTGGAAGGAATTCAAGGTAGGTGGTCTAATGTCATTTGAGTAGAAATTCTAACTTGAACTGGAAACAGGACTTCAAGCATAAGTATCACCAAATATTTTGTGAAACTAAATTTATTTTTAAAGCTTAGCCCCTTCAGAGTGTGTCAGAGAAAATGTTTTCCAAATTTCCAATTCAAAATGGAACCAGAACCTGTGGGTGGTAAGTTCAATTAACAGCACATCCAACATTCTCCAGAACACTAAAACTCACTGATTTCCTTTTCACATAAGCAAAGTAGAATCTGTAGCTCAAGTAAGAGGGGAACCCTTGTCATAAATTCTTTCCAGTTACATACAAATGATCTGTTCCTCTTTGACAAATGCCTAGCTTGTTTGCAGCAAGACTAGCTGTAGAAAAATTCTACCCACAAAACCTGGCTACTGATTTCCAGATCCACATGCAAGAAGAATGAGAATCCTCAACATCAAGAAATATTGCTAATGCCAGTTGAAAATTCCTACCATTGCCTCTTAGAGTTTTCATAGACACCCAAAGTGGGAAACCACCATAACTTGTACAATAATAAGAAATTTGATGTATCTGGGAATTCAGTATAAGAGTGCTCTGATTCTAAAATATAGACAAAATCTAGACTGGTTTTAGATTGGCGCTTTAGAGTTGAGTGGTTATGCCCACCCTCACCCCACCTGTTATCTCTTAAAACTTTAGTGTTAAAAGTTTGGTATTTTTCCTGTTTCCTTGGTGTATTTCTGTAGTACTTCGAAACTTAAGCTACAACTGTATATAAAGTGAGTGTTCTTAGTGACAAGATATTAGGTTGAATGTGATTGTGGATATCACCATTCTCAAAAAAAGTATAGTAAAGCCAGGAGTAACTCCTGAGCATCAAGTGCAACCCAAAAAGCAAAAAAAGGGGGGGGGAATATTTAGATGTAAATTAGTTTTAATAAATTGCATGCTAAATTCTATGACCACACCTTGGTCAGTTAACGAAGTAGAACATAGTATATTTTGCCTTTTTAAATATTATATGTAAAGTGCATGTAAGAATATACAAGATAAAAAATTTTTTAAAAAATTTAAAGAAAGAATATATACAAGATGGTTCCAAGGTTGGGTGGGTTAAAAGTTGTGCCTTTCAGTCATTAAATCCCCAGTACAGTATAATAAGACAGGTGAGAACTTCTTGCTCAATGAATCTGAATTATCACTGTTGTTGAAATATCACTGGTTGTTCTCAACACTTGGCAGTGGTTTAATTTTTCCATTAATTAAATGTATAGAAAGCGAAATTCGTGAAGACAATCTTTTCCCCCTTCAAGAACAAGGACTGTAGGATAAGCTATAGTATGGATGGGTAAATGGATAAGCGGGTAGCAAGATTCCTCCCTGGGTCGGAGTCGAAGCGTTTGAGAATTCAGTTATGTTGCAACAGACTTGATCAGATAAGACAACTATAAGGAGAGTTTATTTTAAGGGAAAAATGTTGACGAGAAATATATATGTGCCCTCATTGGATAATTTCCAGAATTGCCTTTAATACCAAATTTTATGTGCCTCAAATCAGTAGTCCCCAAGACTGACCAAGGACAAATTCTCATTTGTTCACTTTAATTGGAGTTTTCCTAAAACAATTGCTGACACTTTTCTTTTTTGACTGGACAGGCAGAATGGATTTCTGCTTAGTGAATGCAGAAAGACTGATGCTTTGTGGTTTAACTATTGAGTGGTGATGTTTGTTTCTTAAGTGCTATAAAATATTGTCCTTGGCATTTTCTTCTTAAATATTCTAAATAAAATCTAATTGTGATTTGTGTGTCTAGTTATTATGCCGCCCTTTGTGGGGAAAATAGGGGGGAGGGATATTGATAATTGCATCTCCAGCCCTTGTCTTGCTCAGAAGACAAAGGGGATAGCTATATTACATGGTATAAGGAAACCTTGGCATCAACATTTTATATTCACCATTCTAATAGGAATATATAGTGGAATGGGAGTCAACTCTTCTACTTGTTAGAAGAGTATTTTCTTAGTTCCCTCTGAAAGAAGAAAAAAATAAAGGGTGAAAAAATAAAGCATGTTCAAAAAAGAACAAAAATTTTTTTTAAAAAAATCAGAAAAAAATTAAGAAATCAGAGTGGGGTGGGTATACTGAAAAATGGGGCCAAATGGTTGGATTGGGGTGGAAGACCGGGGGTCTCCTGCCACCAGCCTTTAGACTCAAGTTTGAGCAGGACAAGTAGCTCATTTTGTTTTTAGGAAACACCACCTGGGTTGTCCTGCCTGCCTAACCCCCCCCCCCTTCCCTGGGCTCCTGCACCTTCTGCTCAGGTCCAGGATACCTCCAGCAAAATTCAGCCCACTCAGGCATTGTTTCCGTCCCCCACACCCACCCACATCAATAAATCTCAACAGGGTTTAGAGAACAAGAGGCTACAGGCATGTCTCCCCAAGACATGCTCTAAGAATTCTCTAATACCAACTAACATGAAAACACAGGACACATGCCATAGGAAAATCTGTCCAAATCTTGAAATCCTACTAGTTCCTCTTCAGTGTGCTCAACCCGCAGCAGCTCTTCTGGGAATTTCATTAGTAGAGGTGTAAGGAACTGCACATTGTGTGCTTCCCCGGTTGCATTTATGGGCCCATAATAAGAGGTTCAAGGAGAGATTCATCCCATTTTAATCAAAGTAGAGCACCCTTCCCTAGTTTTCCTCCCCAAACCAAGCTCACTGTTCATTTATACGCTACAGTTCAAGATGTTCCAAGGTGGCTGCTGTGAGTCACCTTGCTCTGTGAACGCTATCCAGACAACATCTTCCTCCTGTCACCCAACTAAACTTGACTTTTTCACAAACTCCTACCATCAGTGCAAATAAGGGGGATTGGGAGCTCGGATAAAAGTATAAGGTGGTGGGGGCTGGAGAGATAGCACAGCGGGTAGTGCGTTTGCCTTGCATGGGGCCGACCCAGGTTCGATTCCTAGCATCCCATATGGTCCCCTGAGCACTGCCAGGAGTAATTCCTGACTGCAGAACCAGGAGTAACCCCTGAGCATCACCAGATGTGACCCAAAAAGCAAAACAAACACAAAAAAGGGGGCAAATCTTGGGGAAATATATATATATATGTATATATATATATATATATTAGCACACAACATTCAACCTTTAACAACATGTTATTAATCTCTTATACTAGGTCTTAATGGCTCCAGGACAAAATACAACAATCTTCACACTCCTCTAAGGAAATTTTGGGGATCAGTTTTAGAGGATTATTCATAACAAGCAATACAAAATATATTATTTAGGTCCTGCTTTGGGGGCAGGCTTTGGGGGTGGGTGTAGAAATATTCAAAATATGGTGGTAGGAAGGTGGAATGGTGGTGGGATTGGTGTTGAAATATTAAATGTAATAAATTATTGTAAACAACCTTATACAAATAAAATTAAAATTTTAAATTAAAAAAAGAGCTAGCAGGTGGCACAACTGTTGGGAATAAAGACTTCCCTGAAGATCCTACAACATCACTTAACTTGGAATATTTAGACAATAGGGGCCAGAGAGACAAAGGGTTGAAGGCACTTATGTTGCATGTGGACAACCTGGTTGGATCTCTGGCATCATGTGATCCCTTGAGTACAGAGCCATGAATAGTCCCCTGAGCATTTCCTCCAGTGGCCAAAACCCTGGCCCCATTAAACAAAAAAACAATATTCAAAGCACAGGATTA